CTGTAGTGGTGTGTAAAATATAGGTGGCTTAAATTTTAAGTTTGGAGTTTGTCGCGATGAGGGAACACAAACACACGTCGCTCAGATCATGAATTAGCACACAAATATGATTGTTACCATTCTTCACAGTTTCTGTGGCCCATCTGTGCCAGCAGCTGCACATTTGAAGGCACAGTAGAAGACATGATGTGTGTGCAACAACAAAACAGAACAGCTCAGTTCTTTTGACAGATTAAAGGCAAAGATAAGCGGTGATCATTTGTCATTTCATAGTAAAAGTATGTACTGTATGCGTTTAACATAATACTGAGATCTTTCCAACATTATCAGAGACAATCCATTTCAATTGCTCTCTCTCTCTCTGTCCATTCTATTTTTGGCCTTTTGCTTTTCACCTGTCTGTTTAACTGTGAATAATATTACTATGGTTAGACCATTGTAATGGACTTATATAATTATAAGGCCAGTAATCTTGTCTGTATTTTCTATTATATTTTATGAAACAGTTTGAACAGAGATGTTTTGTGTGAATAAGTTGTTCTTTAAAGGTGTATCCCAGAGTTTTCCTACAGCTGAATAGAAGATTCATCAATCCAGGTTTCCATAAAGAGTTTTAGTGCTGTATCACTATATTTTCCGAAAGAACAGATATTTTATTCTTAACATCTTAAACAGTAACAGCCATCAGGGGGCCATATCATTGTCACTCTACTCTTTATCTCCCATTTGCTGACAAAGACTGTAAGATGCAATTTTAAGATCTGGAAAAATCTAGTGAGGAGTGTTTATTGAGCATTCATTTTAAAGCTGCTGGGATGTTTTTGGTGACACTGACTGTAGCATTTAGATGATTAATACTCATAAAATATAAAGGTGACAGAATAAACCACAGTCTGGAAGAGTGTAAACCTTTTCCAGAATCTTGCAACTGAAATAAAAGCTTGATATAAATTTGTATTTAAATTGCAGGTTTAACAGATTAATCAAAATTAACTCAAATATGGATTGTATAGATTGTTATTTACTGCCCATAGCTTTTTTTAATCTCATCAGATTACAGGAATTTATGTTATTACACCCATAGACAAATGACAATGAAGTCTCAAATCTTTGTGTTTTTAAGATAACAAAAAGTGTTCAAGAGCATATATGAAACAAAAACAAACTTGTGAAGCTGATGATGTTAGAAAGCAAAGGAGGAAGACAAAGACAAAGGACAAAGTGGTGGGAAGAACGAGAGGAGACGAGCTTGGGAGAGAGGCGATTCTCTTTCTGCAAAATGAATAAAAAGTAAACACCAGTGGAGGAAATACCGTGACAATTGACGCTGTAGATCACTCCTCCACCTGCCCACTCAGGTTTCCCAGAAGGCCATCCTGCCGGCCACAGGACAAAGGGAGCGCAAAAAGCCAACACCTCTCTCCCCCTGGGGCGCTCAGAGACAATAAAGGGGGAAAAAGCGATACAACACCTTTGTTTGCTGAGATTAAAACATGTTGCATTCTCTGCCTATCTCCCTCTCTCCCCAGAGGAAACTCTACCGGGCGAGAGATGTAACTGTCAGTGAACTCTCTCTCCATTCTTGGTGGCTCATAAAGTCTGCCTTATTATTTCTGTTTCCTATTGTTTGGGTGTCATTGTGGTGCGTCTTGTGACGCCGTGATTAGCGGATCAGCCATAGCACAGAGTGAATGAGCCTCCTGTGTGATACGGGTATAAAGTTGGTGGTGTGACCAGACTTGTGCCCCAGCCTGATTGTTAATGACTGAAACTGAATCGCTGTTGACATAAAAGAATACCCAGTCTCACCCTCCGATATAGGGAATCTGACTCTGTTGATAACAGTTTAGGGAATTACACATGAACAAACACGTGCACGGCTATTTCAAAGTAAAGTATTCACAGAATAATTGTCTGATCTGTGTGCAGTGATAACAACAACAGATTTTAGGAGTAAGGTACACTTTGTTGAAAGCGCATGCCTGGCAAATTGAGCCAGCTTCTCACACACACAAATCTCATGAAATTCTCACAACAGTCATTATTGCACAAAGTCAACAGACAACATGTAAGGCAACACAAATCCACATCAAATTCACCAATCGATCACTACAATGGTAACCGTGGCGGCGAGGGTGGCCCCGGGACATGCACTCTCTCCACAGGGGGTTTCTGTCAATCTGGCAACCGCAGTGGGAGGTCTCACTCTCATCAGCGCTGTAGGATCCAGACCACTTGTCTACCTTCCCTCGCTCTCGTCTGCACACAGGCTTTAAAATGGAGCTGGCAAATGATGTGCCTGCAGGTAACACATTTCTCCTTTTATTTTGCTGTGTTTTATTCTAACTTTCCCCAGAAGAAATAGTCCCAGTGAAAACGGTTTACAGTGAACTCTGTGGATGATCCAGAGTAATCAGGAGATTGTTTATGCAGAGATGCGCTGCAGTTTTTCCAGATGTCATTTTTCAGCACAAATTTTAAAAAATGATCTCCATTGTATTTTGAGTGGCAGCAGACGTTTCAAAGGTAGAGATCTCAAAACCACAGGTAAAAAAAGAAACTGCATTGTTATTGCTTGCTCTCTCTCTCTATTTATACATATATTTATAATCCAATTCAGGTAAACTGGCACTTTTCTTTTTAACCATTTAAATTAATTTCCTAAACACAGTGGGAATGAAATCCAACACTAGATTATTGAGAATGAAAGTTCATATTTGCCCTTTGAAACAGTAGTCGACAAACAATCTCACCATAAGGCACCTTTACTATAGCTGTTCTGGAGCTTTTGACTGTATCACATGATCTTCACTGGCACAGTTGAGAGATTAATTTAAACCTTCAGTCTCAGCTTTTAAGCTAACATGGGCAAGAAGTCCTAAAAATGATCCAAAAAATAAATAAATCTATAATTCCACAATCAAAACTTTTCCCTTTTTCTTTAGCTTACTCCTAACAAACTGTTTTAGTCTCCAGCATTTCAAAGCATGAATGCAAACACCATTTTCAAACTCAAGATGGCATCTGCGTGAATAAAACCCAAAGTAATAGAAGCACTCCTTCCTTATTTACACTATACATCTAAACCAGTTTGGATGACACAACAAGCAGCGGGCTTGTGTTGGACACCTAACTTAAGAGGCCTATCTCTCTCGATGCTCGCTCTTTTTGGGGAATGGCGAGAAGATAAAACATAGGCTTCTCTCCTCAAACCCTCCCTGTCTCTCCCCGCTACACAAACAATGTGCCCAGATAATGAGGCCGGGTGAAAAAGTGTGAAGTGGAGGTGTGCTGAGGGACTGTGTAAACTGGCCTAATCCTCCTTCACAGCATTGTGTCATTAGAGCCGTATAGGTTGTGGATCCTGTAACACGGGCCCTATTCACTCCCGTAGCCCTCAGCCAGAACACTTCAGAGAGCCAGTGTTGTGTTTGAAGCAGCTATAAGCCACAGTGGATTTTCAAAAGTGAGAGCGTCCTCAAGACCACACAGGACCTCCCCTGGGGATATAAAATGTGGTGTAATCTGGTGACAGGAGGTAAATACCAAAGGTCACACACAAAAACAACCAGCAAGATTCACTCAGCAGCTTTATTTTTTGTGCAAATCTCTGGCTACGTGGATGAACCAGTAATGATGTGGTATGGCATCCCTTTATTTATTATGTGGGTGAAAGCAGCTGTTTTTAAAAAAAAAATTATTTTGGGTTAATTTGCTTAGACCGCTGCCTTCTGACTTATCTGTCTCCCTTATCAATTTAAGACTTAATTTCTAGCAATACATTTTCCCACATAGCAGCTGTTTCGTTTATATTTTGAGCCTAGAGAAAATTAGTATACAGTACCACAGAGAGTTACAGCATATTTTGTTGACATTTTTCAAACATAAAACACAAAAGTAAAAGAAACAACTTTATCAAAAACTGCAATTTGCCATTGGTATTGGTCTAAGTCGTCTAGTCTGATTCTTGATTGAAAAACTGAGACAGTGTGTAAGGCTGGGGTTTCCTACAAGAAGTAAGCTGTCAAGGTTCTTTTCCAAAGGGAAAGGGATTTTACTCTGAAAATCTGTGGTTAATTAAACTGAATAAATGCTCCTCATTCAACAGCTGAACTGCATGTTTATTCACCTTTCTAAAAAGAAACAGTCGCAGTAACTACAAACCTACTTTGGTTAACTGTTGTTGCTCAGGTAACATAGCGTATAAGTTGCAACTATTTATTGTGAATGAGTGACTCTACTTGGTGCAGCTCCTGTACATTCACCTCCTGTGTATCATACCATACAGTGCTGATACGAGGTAGTAGAGATTAATTCATTTATAAGTGTAAACAATCCAACTCAAGAGACCGACGAACATGTACAGCACAATGTGATCAAACAAGCATCACAAAGTAGTGATATTGCTTTTGGCTACAGCTCTTATTGCTGGCTTATTATCACATTAAAATGGCTCAGATGATTTAAAAAACAGCTTTGATTATTTTTCCAGAAGTACTTCTCAACTCTTAATACAGTCTGACTGTACATCACTGCCTGACAAGCTAAACCACATCAATTCATCACACTGACTGGATGCACCAGTCCCATCCGGTCCAAAAAACTCAACACAGCAAACTCAAATTGCTCGTCCTTACTTACACACTATCTGCAAGTTTCATCACGTTACTGTAAATATTAAGACTTTCCGGATATTTCAAATGCAAAATAAATCAAATGTAAGGCCAGTTTTGCCAGTGAAATGACAAAAAAACACTCTGGAACAGAGTACTTAACCGCATGGCTGATTTCTCCTTAAAAAAAATGGCGGAAGAAGAGGAAAGTCAACTTATTCAAGATCTCCTATACTGAAATGATGTGTTGAAGTCATGAGTGTAGTATATTTAATTCAAAGACTTTTGAGGTGTCTGAATACTGGTGGTCAAACTCAAGTTATTCCAACACATTTTCAGCACCAGCAGATGCCCCAAATCAGGACTTGTCACCCTCATCCTGATCTCACTTGGGCTGTTCTTTGAGCTGGTGTTCCCTGAGAGCACCAGTGAAGGTAGCCGTCCACACATGCAATGCTGTCCCGGCGGAGAGGGTGAGGAAGAAGAGGAAGGCCACTTGGAAACCAAACCAATCCACCATGCCTCCGGCCAGAGCGCTGAACATCAGCTTCCCCAGCACCTCCAGAGTTGCCAGGAAACTGTAGTGGGTCGCCTAAAGGAGAGAGGAAGAATGGAGAGGTAGGGTGAGGGGAAATGAAGGGAGGAATGATGAGAAAAGGGAATAAGAGGAGGAAGTAAAGGAGAAGGAAGTGAGAGGCGAAAAAGGACATGGGGGAAGGAGAGGGTTTGGAAAATAAAGGAACATTGTAAGTAAAAGGAGGGAGTGGTAGATGGGAAAGTAGAGAGGGTAACATGGGTAGAAAAGGTGACACTTCATCCTTTCCTGTAGCACAATTCATCAGTTTATTTTTTTAAACCCTGAATTACAAAATAATTTGCAACAACAGACTAGAGAAATGGTGTGATTTTCGGGGAAAAGCCCCAAAGCGCAAGAGGAAACGACAGAAAAGAAAGACTGGAAGCCTGAAAGAGAAAGCGTGAGATCATGGCCTGAGACGATGGATGGAGGCCAAACGAAGAAGAGTATCTGATCCCAGCCTTAAGGCTTTCAAGATGGAGGGAGACAACGAGAGAAAGAGAGGGACAGACATGACCTAATCTCCCCAAACCTCCTCCCTCTACAGCATTCAGGTGAGGCAGGCACAGAAGGACTCTAGTGACACCTCGACCATTGACTGAACAAATGAATTCATTAGGTTTAGGATTATTTTCTTCATTATAATAAATGTCTTTTATCCCTCCGTCAAATAATCATAGATTTAATTCGTGAGAAGTTTGCATTGACGAATTCTTCTGCATTTCACAATAATACAGTTACAAATCAGGCTCGTCCTGATTATGTGCACACACACGCACCGTGCCTTCAACTGGCTCAAGCCGACACTTTTACTAGCAACGTATTTTAAGAGCTCTGATTAATATATGATTGAAGAAAATTATCACGTTAAAGCATGTTTTGTTAAAAAAATTAAAGGTGCCCTGTTAAACATTATATCAAATATAACATACTGAAGATGCTAAAGTGTTAACATAGTTAACAAACAGCAAGTTGCTTAAAATCAAATCAAATCTAACATCAGCTCTTGATTTCATTTGTAGTTGACAGCGGTTTTTCTCGCAGTGTAGTTTTTGTGAAAATTTTAATCTGCAATTCTCTGTAGTGGTCCCACTAATATTTATTCTTAGTGAAGCATGTCGCATGACATGTTAAGTTCTGTTTGATACTGAGAACATGACGACACATATATACTGAATATTTTGAAAAACCATTTGATTCTGCTGGCAAAATATTATTTACACAAGGTAGATCTCCTGTTTTTGAAGCATTAAAGTAAAATGATTATATTTTAAGTAATCCCCTAGTGTTGTAGTACTCAAGACCAGTCTTGGTCTTAAGACCGGTCTTAAGACCACTTTTTGATGGTCTTGGTCTCGTCTTGGACTCAACCGCCTTTGTACTCGATCTCAATCCCGAGTCCTCAATCTCGGTCTTGGAGATTGAGGACTCGGGATTTTATTTCAAGACCATACCTTTGGGAATAGCAATAATAGGTCTTATTGTTTGTATTCGGGTGTTTTAATGGGAAAGTGTATCTTTCAGATCACTTTGAGAAGCACCTATGGAGGGAACTGGTCTTGGTCTTGACTCGGTCTCGCCCTCCCTCGGTCTTGGTCTCGACTGCTCTTAGCCCCTAAAAGTCTTGGTCTTGACTACAACAATATAATCCCCTCTCACACGCTTCCTAATTTAAATAATTTGCTTTTATTAGGATATGTGGCATTCATGTTTTGTAATGAACTAATACAATATGTTCTACAGAACTTTTTCATTTAATAGAGTAGGGAAAAAAGTGGTTTAAAAAGATTTTAAAACTACTTTATTTCCTTACATTTCACTAGTGTAAACAAACGCACACTGGCTTTGTAGTCACTGTACAGGACTGTCTTCAATCACACTTGCAGAGGCGCAGAGAGCAGTTACAGCCTGCTGGTAAATAGAACTATATTAAAACATCAACAGCATGGGAAAAACAGCTCTGTTGTCTCTAGTGATTATTTCTGCTGTGACGTTACCAGCGTCTTAGGAAATAAAAGTCCTGTAAACAGTTCCTCTATGTACACAACCAGGGTTGGGAGGGTAACTTTAAAGATGTAATCCAGTACAATTACTAATTACTTGTTAAAAAATTTAATCAGTAGTTTAATTCCAGTACCACAAAATAAAAGTATTGTAATCTGATTTCTTTTAGTTACTTTTGGATTACTTCAATACCAAATATGCTAATTGTTATGGACCTCAGTGGGTTTTTCAGTGCTTTGTGACCCCTAGTGATTGTTGGGTGAACTGTCTCTTTAACTGTGGAAACAGGAAGTGCTTCACTTCCTCTCCAGACCTTGCCGGCTACAATCTAATGCCATCCTCACCTTCACAGTTTATTCATGGCATCATCTGTAACTTACATTGTATATTAGTATAAAAGAGACGCGACGACTTCATTGTTTGTTAAAAATATATTGTGTTTAGAGAGTCATGTGTTTTCTAAGTTAGTTAACATGGTTGACTTTATTCTTTATCATTATTAGTAGTAGTAGTAAAATCAGATGTGTTTGTTATGCTGGCATATGGCAAGTGGTTTTGCTTTATTACACTGACTTTGTACTACATAACTAAATAACTAATAATGTGACTTATTGGTCCTCTATTATATATGGTGGTCATGTAGCTCTTAAGCTAGGCTTTGTGTGATTTCATTTGTGTATCCTTTTTGCTCTTTTCTACAGTTTAACACTAAAACCTGATTAAACTGCCAAAACCAACATATCGGCCTGTTCCCTGGAGTTTGTGATTAGGAGAGTGTTTAGCTGTCTGTGTAGCTGAGTATACGTTTATGGGGACAACACTTAGCGAGAACAGAACACTAATAAAGATGCGTTGTCTGCTCAGTGTATGTTTAGAGAAACATACAATTATAAATATATAATTACAAATATCACATTCCCATGAAATCAAAATTGTTTTGTTTTTTTTACATGATAGGCCTTGCACTAGGTCTATACGTCATATGTTAATAAATCATCATGAAGTTGTGGGCCTGTATTAATTTAGTGTCCAATGAGAAGATTTCTTAATTTTTATGATTATGATTATCTAATTAGCTCAGTTAGCCTGCAGCTACTGGTCAAATTAGCTCACTCTGCCCGTACTGGGAGTTCGAAGCACCGGAGTGCATGTATAAGCACTGGAGGCTTTCAGGCAAGTGGCGAGGGGACCTGGCAGGAAATGTTGGCGGGGAGCAGCGCCAGGTGAGCGGCAACGAAACAGCGCTCAGTAGCCTCCCAGTGAACCCGACATGAACAGGACTGAACACAGTCTCATTAGTTAACTCAGCCCTGGGATGTCAAGAGCCAAACCGGCAAGAAAACCACCTTGGTACTGTATTCCTAGCCTATAAGGGGAAAGACTACTGCTTGGGAAATATTTTATATTTAAATGAGAGAGGAGGAGTGAAATAGTTTAGTGACCAAATAAGTTGTGGGAAACGAAGTTAAGGTATTTTTTCCGATGCGTGTGTTGAAAGTAAACAACGGAAGATTATTTTATTAACTTTCGATCAATAAACTGAAGATTTTAAAGATCTACTCAAGTGGAGAGTCGTAAACCTCTGAAAAGACGACAGTCACAAGTAGAAAACGAGAAAGGAGTCTGTTTAAACAAGTCAGTAAACTACACTAAAGACTCACAAACAGAGGAAAAGAGAGGCTGCACGTTCAGCCGATCATACGAGCAACACCTGAAGCAACCGCAGCTTCAGCCAGAGGCTCCGTAAGTAAGATCAGCTGATTGTTGCTGCGCCACAAAAGTGTTTAATTGATGTGATGGAACGCAGCGATCGATAAGTGACAGGTGATGTGAATAGCAAATAAAAATGTACAGAGTAGTGTTAAATGATACCAGAAGATGAAACCAACGGAAAGCCAAGCTTGTGGTGATAAACCTGCAACAGTGACGAACGTGCCTGAGACGCAGCCGAAGGTGAGCGGCTGTTAAAATCACGCTTGGACTCCGCGTGTGCAGCCATTTTATTACAAAAACCATACAATTTATGGTGCAGGCACATCAGGGGAAAAAAAGGCATACTCTTTCTTTCTTTCGGTGTGTTGCTTGAGTGTTTGGCTGCCAGCAAAACCATACAAATGGTCATTTTTTGCCGCAATCTGGTTACAAAAAGTAGGCCTAGGTATCGATTGAAGTAGCCTACTGGTTTGACTGGAGACGATTTGGTTCTACTCGATACCGGGCTATTTTGGTCAATACCATAAAGGTACCAAGTAGCGATACCCATCCCTAGCTGGAACTAGTTCGCACAGAGTGTTTGACGGGGTGGGGGCGTAACCACATTCAACTACTGGCTACATGCCATTCAATATCTGGGACAAATGCTTCCCTAGCTTTGTGTTTTTACCAAACAGCAAATAGCACTCTGCTTTCCGTTTCATGGAAAATTTGCACTTAATTCCCAGTAATCCCTATGTGTAGCCTAATCCTTATTTGTACAAAATGTACCTGTAGTCTGATTAGGTCTTTACTTTCTGTACTGTAACAGATTACAGTTACTCTTTTTTTGTATCCTGATGTAATCCGTTACTCCCCAACCCTGTACACAATAAACCCCTCTCCCCAAGTCTGACTCGCGCTTCCACCGGAGTCTTGCTGCAACAACTCGCCTCTCACGAGATTTCAGATCAAGAATTGTCCTTGAGCAAGACTTCTTTTCTTTTCTGGTTAAAACAAAGGGTGTTACTCATATGGATCATTTACATGCTGTCAGAAACCTGGTGTAACAACCTGAGCCTGTCGGTGGCAAAACGAAGGAGGACATAATTTTGACAGGCGCAGTTGCCCCAAAGGAATATGTTGCAGCTAACGGCTGAAGCCATCTACTGCACGGATTCCAAAGCTTGTGGTTTAAAAATACTGAAATTATCCTTTAAGGAACTGGTGGTGAGTTTAGACTATCTGACAGGAGTGGGAAGTAAAGTAACGCAAATGAGAATAGTTTTTTATTTATTTTTTTTTTTTAGGAACTAATTTTTCACATTCCTTTTTAAAACTGCACCTCTACTAGTATTTTAGGGGGTAAATAATCTACTTTTTAATTCGCTACATTTGCCATTTATACTTTTGTTACAACTAGTATGTTATCTACAAAGCATTTTGCCACATAAACAAAAACTAAGCTGTCATCCGAGCTGTGCACAAGGTTACACAGGAGAGCTCCGGTCTCCCTTGAGGTACAAAGAGACGTGCGCTTGTGCCAGATATTAATGAACCAGGCAGATGTAAAAATTTTGAATATCAGGCTAAAACTTTTTAAACGTAAGGCTTTGTTGGTCTGTTGATTTAACACAAATCCAGTAACTGCACACTATGCTACTGGTGGCCGTGTTGGAAAGCGGCCTGCATCGCTCTTTTACAAGCCGGCACTTTTGATTAATGGTGCATTAAAAGCTTATTTAGTCTATGCATTGGTTGCTGGTTGTTTTACATTATATATATATATATGTTATATATTAGATGTTATATACGCCCTATGGTGAGTTAATTAAATAGAATGTCGGTGAACCTTGGCTTTAACTCAGTTATTTATTCAGGAAACAATAACTTTTGAGAAGTAGGGAGAAAGCACATTTGGGTGGATAAAACTGTCCTGTTGGGCTTTACACATGATGTACAGGTCTCCCTCTATATATAGGCTTACCCTCCTTTATTCGACAATGGGCTGCTTTTTTATGGGAGCAACTGTACTTTTACTAGAGTAAAGCTTTTCAGTACCCACCACTGCTATATGAGCTGTAACTATGGTCTGTACACTGAGGTAGAGAGCTCTGAGAGCCTGTGTGACCACAGCTAAGTGGAGTGCCTTTATTCTGCGCAACTTGTTTAACAGATTCGGTTTCTTTCTCCTGGGGATCGTTAACAAGCACTCACCCTATCAACTTTCTGTCACTGGATAGCACCACCTTCAATAACACACACATGCACACAACGAGCACAGACGAGCTAATGCTTTCCCCTCCTGTGTGCGTGTGCACACACACACATTGATTCACACACCGACACAGTGAAAAGCAAACAGTTTATGTGTCATGAGAACCTCTCAAATTAACCATGGTTCTCGTCATCACACGTTGTGACTGATTCTCTTTTGTTATTTATTTTATTAGTAACCAGATCCTGATATCTGTGCTACAGTCCGTGATTTGTTTCCACTTGACTTGAGAGTGACAGCAATTTAAATGTAATTTGTCTGACTGGGTCTGACATCTTCCAGGTGGAAAACAGCTGATGAGAACAGGTGACAGGTGTAGGTGATAATAGGTGTGGTACTGTATGCTGTAGATGTTCCTCCTCTCCCCCCTTTGACGACTAAAGGAAATGACCTAAAATTACATAATAGCACAATTAAACAATGACAGATGAGAGGAAAGAAGGGACGGAAGGAAGGAGAAAAGAAAAGAAAGATTGTGTTGTCCGTTAAGCCACAGGAGATGACCTAACACCTAAGAATGAGACAATTAATACCAAAACCACAGTAGCGGGGGGGGGGGGGGGGGGGATTGTTGGCAGGTATGAGAAAAATCTGTTTTACCTGAATGCTTTCCTCGGCCCTCTGAGTGCAATACATCATGGTAGTGAAGGTGAGCGTGGTGATGAGACCGCCCAGGAAGTGCTGAACACTCATGCTCAGGACGGCCATGCCTGAGGGAGCAAACACACGCGAAATCAAGCAAAAAACAGGCACAACACATCTTAGAGCAACGACACTACAAGTTTTTCTCAAAAAGGCGGAAAACTATCAATTTTACACTCTTGTCTGCTCTGCTGCACTTCTCACTATACTATTCTATGTGGAAGTCAAAGTAGGGAGACAAAGCAGTGAGAAACGGTAAGCTGCTGAAGTGTCTCCTCTCCTTTTTCCCACCACCACAACCCCCCCACCCCCACCCCCTCGTCCCCAAAACACATGTAGTGTATCCTCTGAGGGGAAGTGGCAGAGCAGTGTTAGTGGGGAAACAGAGGAACCACAGAGCCTATCTGTCTCTGCTCCCGCTAACACTGAATTATTCACTCAAGCCGCCAGAGTTTTTCCTGAATAAGATTCTTCAGTCAGCGACACAAGACTGTTGGAGTCACACAGATACACCGACTGATCAGACCGGGAGAGAGGGAAGCGGAGGGTTATCATGTAATATTGAAAAATCTGAAACTGAATGTTTTTCAGTTTGTTTTTTTTTTCCGATTTTGGTTCAGTTTTCCTGAAATCTTTGTTCTGGGTTTAAAGCAAAGGGGGGGAGAGGCCTCAACTTTCCGTCTGAGAGGCTTGATAGGGGAACAGACAATTCCAACAGAGATGAAATGCACAGATCTGAATCCCAAAAGCCTTTGACTGGCTGTGTAACAGAATCAGATGTTTCATTCAGACATTAATAACTGAAGGGGGCTCTCTGGAGAGAGAGACAGAGAGAGAGAGAAAGAGCAAATGTCTATCACTGTCCTCTGCATCATCCACTGTGCTGTATTAATACTGAACACCTGGCTCAAAGGCTTGTTCTGTAGACCATTGGTTCCCAAACTATTTTTGCACTGTGTCCGACAATGCCTGTAACTCTCTGAAACCAACAATACAACATCCACTTCATGTAGCGATTGGCCAGGTGTGCGCAGGTGAGAAAGTAAGCAGAGTTTGAACTTCTCTCTCTCTAGCTCTTTTTTCATTGTTTGCACATATATTTGTCACTTTTTGTTTGTGCAAATGAGTACAAAAGTATGAACTAGGAAAGACTGTCTTAAAGTGTCGCCGTTACCCCCACAGCTAAACAATTATTGTGTCTTTTACCTTCTGACATGGTTGAACTTTGTACAAACTAGTTAATTCCCCCCCAAAAAAACGCGCCTTTAAGATGATGCAATCCGTACTTGCGTCCTCTCATCAAAGTTGACAATGCCTATTTACTGTGAGTTCAACCAAAGAGAGATTTCTGCTTTTAAAATTGTTGAATTTGACATATTTAGAGGCATGAAGAGGTCAAACTTTTTAAAAGGAAAAAAAATGGCCTAATTGTGACCCACCAAGGGACTGCAGATGAAAATTTGCTTTCTGTTTACTCTGGTACAATACATCAAATAGTAACATTTATGTTTAATATTGTTTGTGGCCCCTTTTTCAAATAAAATAAATAAAATAATTTTATCTAGTAGAAATATGTTCTTTTATTCTTTTTGCTATCCCATTACTACGGAAGCCCTGAGAGATAAGTCTGATCTGAACCTTGTCAGTCAGTTTGACTGAAGGTGTTCACCCCCATAAACTCAGTGTACATTCGTGATCTTAAGCTGTGCAATTACATGTACCCGCGTGTTAATCACTGTGGGTTTGGTGTGTTTATTCAAGAAAGTAGCAGGTAAAATGAGGACGGTACGTGAAAGTGATCAGGATCTGGAAAGTTTAAATATGTAAATCTACAGAATTCAATAAACAACATGTGCTGTGCTTATACACTATTCATGGAGAAGAATAAAAGACTAACAACAACAACTTAGTTTTAAGAGTGTTTAAACACTTAGACAGAGGTTTTATTTTTTCTTGTCCTTTTACAACCTGCTTATGTACTATATAGGATCATGGCAATTGGTAATATGTGTTGAAACTGGGTTCCAGTTAAACTGGTGCCTGCCAGCATATCTGCGACTGTATTTCAGTCTGTCTCTCACCTTTCATGAGTGGTGATGGTTCCAGTACAGTGAGCAGAGAACTCTGGAAGACCATGCTGATGGTTCGCAATACAAACACGCGTCGCATCAGAGCCCCGATGCTGAGGAGAGACCAGCAAACAAGCCAAGTATCAGACAGACGTTCGCCAACCTTTAGGTACTTATGTTATTGATGAGCAGTGTGATCTACAGTGACAGTGGCTCAAGGCTATATCATTACATTTGGAGATATTCTGAGTTTCTTTTCATGTCACACACAATTACACACACACGCATGCGCACACACAGTACACACATGCTAAGTAAACAAGTCCCCAGACACTAATTGATTCCCTGTTAGTGCAAGAAAATCATCCCCCTGTGGGTTTGGTTTGTGACGTAATCAATAACCTAAGGAGATCCCCAGCATGAGGAAAATAATTAATCACTGTTAACACACACACACACACACATACTCACACTGTTGTGTGACATCAGGGATTAACAATGCCAATCACTCAGAGGATGCCTGCCACTCAAAGGACTGTGTGTGTGTTTGTTTATGTTATTTTTGCATGTAATTATTTATGTGTAAAAAAGGCTTTGAGGAAGAAGGGGCCTGTCACACAATGCAGGATATGTGATTTAGTTGGATAAATTGGCTGAGTGAAACCAGATCAGCTGACTCTGCCCAGACTGGGAGCTCGGAGTATAGGGGCAGTGTTGGTGTTTGTTTACATCACTAGCACAGGGGTTTTCGACCGCCAGAAGAACAGTAAAAAAATGCCCACCTCAATTTCCTAGAGCTCAAGGTGTTGTCTTCAAATGTCTTGATTTGTCCGACTAATAGTCTGAAACCTAACCTATAAGCTATTCAGTTTACAATAATGTTCAGACAAAAAACAAAAGGAGCAAATGCTCACATTTGAGAAACGGGAACCATCAAATATTTGGCCATTTTGGCCATTTGGTTGAAGTTAACAAATTGTCAATCCACTAATGGATTCATCTCCTAATCGTTGCAGCTCTAATATGATCAGTATCTTAGAAATCTAAGCCACAAAGACACCAACCCTGATTGTATTTCTTCAATATTTTCTCCAGCGACTACAGAACAAAAATGATTTAAGCCTTTTTGTCCCTTTTGAAAAACCTCGATAAAATAAACTCACCTGTGTGTGCGAGAGATTAAGAGTTTACAGATTATTACAGAGAAAAGAAAAGACAAGACCATGGGCAATGAACGCTTTCTTTGACTTAAAGTAATTCTAAGAGATAAAAAATTTTGCACATCCTACAAACCATACAAAGCTCAAATTAACTGAATTCTATTTATTTCACTTTTTTAAAATGTTCTCACTTGCTCTCCCTCCCTCCCTTCTCCCGACTCTGTATCTTCTCCCCTCACCATCTCTCCCCTCTCCGCCCGGCCTTTCCTACCCTCTCTACTGGAAAACCAATCCTGCATCATTCACATGCTAAAGACATTTCTTCTCTCTGCTGCTCCTTTACCTCCCGTCTCAATGACAGCCTTTCATATCACGCACTCTCAAGAGATGCTGAGGTGTGTGTGTGTGTGTGTGTGCGCGTGTGTGTGAGAAAGAGAACCTGCCTGGCTGCCACCTCACATGGGCCGGGCCCAGATAAGAATAGCCATGTTCTCAGGTTGCCAGTGGCGGTTGTAAAGGGGGTCATTCACTGACCACTCAGCCGTTTCTGATGGTGGGGAGGATAAACCTTGCAACTGAGCTTTTAGAGGTGAGACCACAGCCTGCTGGACAGCACTTTCTCTGTGTGTATGTGTGTGTAAGTGTGTGATAGGAAGAAGAAGTGTTCATCTGACACTGGAAGGTACACACAACCAAAATTATAAATTTTTAGCACGTAAGCTAATCTAGAACTGAGTGCTTGTCCTTTGCATCATTGTGCTAATTAAGTGAGGATTAATTAAATATAATACGGTACTGCCTGTTTCTGTGCAACCAACTTAGATTACTTTTTTTTAAAGAAAGGGAAATATTCACTAAATATGTCAAACATCACACAATAACCCAGACACTGATTTTAACCAAGGCTGGGGGAATGATTCAATTGGTATCTTCTCATTCTGATTAATCAGCTGCAACATCACACATGCTGGCCTTACAGAGGTAATAACAGGTCAAATAAGGTGACTTGCTGTATAATTTCTCTGTTCTGTGTTACTGCATCACTTGTGGGTTCAAATAGTTGACTGCAGGCTTGTATAAAATGGTTTCAAGGGAATAAATATTGGGAAAGAGCAGTTTCCACACATTATTTCCCAATACACAAAGATACCTAATGGTGAAACTAATGGCGCTGTAAGAGACTGAAAACAATTAAGTGTGATGAACTGATTCTTAACACTCTTAAGACTAATGAGTCGGCTGTCATGGCACATCTAACCCCCAGATAAATTTAATCTACACCAGAAGAAGTCACTGAGATGAGTGTTTTCTGTCTTTGTCAGTGTGTGAACAGTTTACTGCCTTTATAAGTTACCGACTCCTTTACAAGTGAGATGAAGAGAAAGAGTGAAAGATAAAAGGCATAAGTATGACAATGACATCTATTGAAAGATTTCCCCTCCACCAAAAATTCTGCCCTTGGAGGTTTGCTCTGTGTTTGCTAGTGTCACTTTACAAGAGGAGAAAACCTGTGAGCGAGTTGAAAACACAACACGGGGGGGGGGGGGGGGGGTGACTGGCATCAGACAAAGCACAGGGCAACTGATACATGTCAACGAATGGGCAAGCACACTAACACATACAGCACAAACAAAGACACCAACAAATGACCTGTCCATTGACCGACAAACTACATCCCTAAACATCCTAATCCCTCGATGTAAGTAGGCATAAAGTTGGCTAAAAAGCTAAACATTTTCTAAATGTGGATGGAAGGATGGAGGTGTGAACTAATCATACTTTCCTCTATAAAGGCATTGTTGTGTATTAGGCAGGGTGCTATGAGGCAACTTAGAATAAGCAGAATGCAACAATGATCAGGCATAAATGGTATAGTGTCAATATGCTGAAGGGGAAAGCATGTAAATGTTACATATACTGCACATAACTGTGCTACAACAACTTGACATACAGATTTCTTTAAATGCATTATCATCAATATTTAAATTTTGTGAATTAAAATAGACTGGTTACTTAACGTTGTATAACTGTACAAAAATATCACATCTAAGGAGCATACCGGAGCATCTGCATGGTCATAATCAGCCATTTTGATATATTAATCAGAAAGTCTAAGATCTTAGTATCTGTCTGTAAATCTGAGAATTAAATTCAACTGGAGCTGCATGTTGTCTCTGCGATCAAACCCTGAGGGGTGTGTGTATGTGTGTATATATGTGTGTGTGTGATTTGCTGCTCATGTTGTCACACCACACACCAGACACAGGGGGTCCCCGAGCTCTCAAACAACGCTATGTTTACTTTAATTACTGTACACACACAGTAAGACAGAAAGACACACACAAGCGCAAGAACCTATGAAGAGTAACGGGCACAGAGTAAGGTGGAACAGGTAAAGGGGGTGGAAGAAAGCTGCAGGAAAGAAGGAGTCAGTGTACACAAAACCTTGTAGGAAGAAGAGGAGCAGGATGAGGAGGAAGATGGTGATGGTACTGCAATATCTGATGGGATAGTGTGAGGCAGTATGACACATGTTCATGTGGTGCAGTGGACTGGATCTTATCAACCTTCACTTACTTCCCACTGCTGTAAGCTGATTTTCACCCTTGATTCTTTCAAGTTTTTTTCAGTTGTGTAAGTGCAGTTTGTGCAGCACTGAAATTGTATTCTTCTGCTGGTAGCATGGTGCAAACATTTTTCTTCTGCTTCAGACTGGCTTGTTTGTAATCAAAAACTGTGATGTTTTCCCACACTGTCAATTATTCTGTCAAGGAATTATTCTATCGAGAGATCCCACAAATCACCTGTGAACATGGGGCTGAGGTCCAATCAATGGTCACATTCATGTGTGAATATTACAGCTGAAATGATTAGTCTACTAATCAACAATTTTGACAATCAGTCATTAAGAAATGTTTTGTTGACATGCAAAAATGTGTACTTTTACAGTGTGTAGTCTTTGAGTTTCACAGGCATTTTATGCATTGTTAAAGGGGATTTTCCTATGAGTGCCCTTTCATTTTGTAATCCTGCAAAAGTCTTCACAAAACACTGCTGCTATACAAAAACTATCACGGTGAAGCCAGTGATAGCCAAAATGATGGTAAGAATGACGTTGTTGATGAAGGCTACCTGAACTGAGCGAGCAGCAGGCCTCCCAGGGACGACCCACAGATGGAGAAGCCCATGGCGATAACGCCATTCCAGAAGCCGAGCTCCCTGGCGGTCATGTGATGATCCAACAGGAAAAGAGGAAACATGGTCACGGCACCCTGCTCACCTGTGTACACAGTGACAGGAAAGAGAGAGAGAGAGGGGTAGACAAAGGAGATCAGATGAAAGACAGAAGGAGAAGAAGAGGGAAGAAAAGGGAAGCAGAATTAGGTGCTGCAGAGTAAAATATACAATCAATACACCATGTGTTATGTACTGTACGTCTCTGACTAAGCACTGCTATTTTTCACCTACAGTAAATATGTGAGACATCTCCTGAATACACACGCCTATTCCAATCACAGTCACATACGATGAGGATGTTGTACCAAACTGTTTAGCCTGCAAGACTGAACAACACAGTTTTCCTGAGATGACAACTGCAGAATCAAATACAGCACACCAACATGCGGCGCACCTAGGCCTATTCCTGGAAAGTGTCAATAATAGATGCCTGACAAGAAAAAGAATACCCTCAGTCACTTTATCAAACGGGGGCCTAGCACTTTTCCTAAAGCACAAAAAGGAAAACACAACAAAAACACAAAAACTTCCACAGATGAAACAGACCTCACAAAGACCTTTCAGTCAAAATAAAAAGTTTCTGTCAGACAGTCAGACTTTCTCTGTGTGGCGTTGAGAGTGGGGGTAATGTTCTGCTGAACATTACAGTAAAATATTCAGTGGCGCCGACTATACGCCATTATTATATTAATGGAGACTGACTTCAGAAAGACAGTGGGACCAAGGAGCTGCGTGAGTGACAGCTTGGCTCCCAGACTGCTGTCAAAGACGACGCAACACAACCGACGACTCACTCACTCAGTCAGCCAGGAGACAAACAAAAATAGAGAAAGAGGAAAAAAGACAGATGAAAGAGACTGAAATAAAAAAAAAATAATAAGAGAAAGCTGAGAAGCTCCCAGTGATAGGGAGTGCAGCAGCAGAACGAGGGTGTCACCGCTGTAGCAGTGGTGTGACAACCCAGCAGAAAGGTAGGGTAGGAAATATGGATTCTCTGTGTAGAAAACACGTGTCTCTTACTTCTGTCACTCATGTTTCACTGCTGGCAATTTACACGTAGTTAACACAAACCGTAACGACGACTAATCTACGACTGATGAAAATCTAATTAGCCAATAAGAAAGTGACTCTTTCAAAATGTATATACCTGTCAGACAGACAAAGAGTTACAAGTAAAAGAGAAATGAGGAGACAAATAACTACAATTACTGCAAGTCCACAGTAGTCTTCAAATCACAGGAGACATACTGAACAGTAGGTAGTTTGCACTTGGGCTGGGCAATAAAATGAATTTGTTTACTGAAATGTAATTTTACAAACAAGTCACATGACAGCAACATATGCAAATTTTACTCTAAACCCATGAGGTGGTCAAACCCACTTAAAGTAGCTCTTCATAACATATCACATTACATTACTACCACTCCACACCTACAACCAGCGGGGGCTGCACTGATACAATTACACCTCTCTGTGTATTACACACATTTTTAATATCTGTCACCCTCTGTGCTGAACTGTTTTGAGCTGCATCAACTGTGCAGTAACCATATTAGTCATTATAAAGTAAACATTGGCAGCAGCGGTACCCATGATGCCTGGCTTGTTTACCCATGGTTCTGTGCTCCCGATCCTGTCTGTCTGTTGTTTAGCTCAAAGCTCAGAGCTTTCACAGTCCTGCCTTCAACTAATTATTTCTTTAAAGAGGGGGGTTGCAGGGGAGGCGTGCAGACAAACACAACCAGGCTGATTATTCCTTTCTATAAATATTCTCAAAGCAACAATTGTCCATTTCAGCAGGGATTTCATTAGACATCCGCAAAGATTAAACACGCAGAGTGAAGGGGAATGAGAAAAGGGTGTAACAAGAGCGAAGGGGGGAGATGATGAGAGAGAGGGAGCACAGTGGGGAGAAAGGAGTGGAGGATGAGGAGAGTCACTGATAACGAGAAAAAACAAAAGAAAGAACGAAAAAAGGGAGAGAGAGAAACAGCAGAAGGTTAAAGAGGGCAAGAGAAGTACATACGAAAATGTTTTAGATGTAGTGCAGGAAATGATAATCATAATGAATGTATTTAAAAAATAAAGAGATGGGAGTTAAACATGATTGGAGAGAAAGGAGAGCAGCCAGGGATGGAGGCAGCTAAAGACGGGGGAGGGGGGGCAGATGAACAGAGACATTGTTAGGAGGTTAGTGAAGAGGAAACAGAGCAGGGATGGAAGGCTCAAAGACAACTCTGTGTTTATGTTTACATTAGAGACAGACAGCACAGAAAGACAAAACAATTTAACATTAAGAGGGAAAGTGACGGAAAGACGGGAGGTGGGGTTATTTTATTTATCTAAGTTATTTAAAGGTGCTTCATGACAATATCAATCAATTTAGTAGACATGCAAACAAAAATAGCTGGGTCCAAACACCCTGACCCAAAGACATGGAGAAAAAAAAACCAAAATTTTATATATTAATATTGATCAGCTTCTTACTATGAACAGTGGGGTCCTACAAGAACACTAAATTATCTTATTATGGAGGAAAGTGCTAGCAGCACTTATTCATCTATTTCCCAAAGACAACCTCGGGATATGACGCTGAGCATGTGCACTCAACTTCTTTGGTCAAATATGGCGAGGCCTGTTGTGAGTGCAACCTGTCCAACCGCTGTATGGTTCTTGGCCACCGTGCTGCAGCTCAGTTTCAGGGTCTTGGGTATCTTCTTATAGCCGAGGCCATCTTTTATGTAGAGCAACAGTTCTCTTTTTCAGATCCTCAGAGTTCTTTGCCATGTTAAACTTCCAGTGACCAGTGTGAGTGCGATAACACCAAATTCAACACACCTGCTCCCCATTCACACCTGAGACCTTGTAATACTAACAAGTCACATGACACCAGGGAGGGAAAATGGCCAATTGGGTCTAACATTTTCACTTAAGGGTGTACTCACTTTTCTTGCCAGCTGTTTAGACATTAATGGCTGTGTGGTATTTTGAGGAGACAGCAAATTCACTCTCTTATACAAGCTGTATACTCACTACTTTACAATGTAGCTAAGTGTAATTTCTTCAGTGTTGTCACATGAAAAGATATAATCAAATATTTACAAATATGTGAGGGGTGTACTCATTTTTGTGAGATACTGTAGATAAATACTCAAGTTTCAGACGCTTTAAGAGGATGGAAGAAAGAAGGTTATTAGCCATCATTGGTTATCTTTCATTTTAGTATAGGTTTAGTGGATATTGGCTGATAGCTTTACTGCACATAAGGTTTGATGGTACCAAACTGAAAGAGGTCACTGTTCTAGCATTGCAAACAGAGCTGAAGCTTGAGTGTTTCCTTAAAGCCGGTGGCTTAGTAAGTAAAACACTGATTCGACATGTTTGTCATTTACAGCAAAACTAAAGACACACAGATGTAGCTACATCTTCACAAGAAAACTGTGGGGGGGGGGGGGTATTTCGATTGACACTACCACGAACAGTACTCACATGTTTTAGGAGACTTATTCCAAGTTATCGTTATTAGTTTTGCAATAATACGTCGACGATTAAAAATTCTCCACAGCAATCAGAAGAGAGAGACGGACTGTGTGTATGTGTGAATGTACTGTATTTATGTGGTAGAAGGGGGTTGTGTGGTAGCACAGAGCGAGGTCAGAGAAGGACGAGGGTGAGATGAGGGTGAGAGGTCAATGAGGATAGTGGGGTCAAATCCTGAGGTCCATGCTACAGTTTAGACAAAAGAGGTGGCAGAGCAAGAGAGATCACTGAGGACACTCAGTCCCCTTGCTGAACATCATCGCTCTCTGCCGAGAGCACAGTAAACAAAGACAGGTTCATCCATACTACATGTTTGAGCACAGCATGCACACGCACACACGCACACACAAACAAATGTCTATGTGCATATACATGCACACACATCCTTCGGCTCCCTGAGGACAAACTAAACAAAGCCCCGTCTATGCACACTTTTACAATATCCTATACATTAGTCTTGATTATTGACACGCGCACACGCACACACACACACACACACACTCTAGCACTGCCTACAGATCAATGAAGATGTCAAGGAATTGTTTGTGGCCTGCGAGGCTCATGGACATGGGAAAATACACTCCAACTACATAGAAGCAGGACAACCACTATCTCTCCACCCAACCTAAACCTGTTAAGGTTACTGGGCAGATTTTGTTTGTTCTCTGCATTATATTCTGAGAACTTATGTAATATTATGCTTTTTTATATACATATATATATGTGTATAATGTCACAATGTTGGATGTTTACATTAAACGTGGTCAAGTTTTAAAGAATGAGGTAAACGTAATCTCTAGGTGTTTTCTACTTGCCTAGCTAACGTCAGATTGGTAGGGATCAGGGAGAGTAGCATGTAGCTCCAGTCCCGAAAGTATTGGAACGGTAAGGCAAATTCCTTTGTTTTTGTTGTTCACTAAAGACATTTGGGTTTAAGATCAAAAGATGAGTATGAGACAAGAGTTCAGAATTTCAGCTCTCATTTCCTGGTATTCACATCTAGATGTGTTAAACAACTCAGGACAAACCACCGTTTGTTTGAATCCACCCATTTTTCAAGTGAGCAAAACTATTGGAACATGTGACTGACAGATGTTTCTTCTTGCCCAGGTGTTGCCTTTTTTTCTTGCTGGTGGCAAGCCAAACTACAGTGGCATGCTCTAAAAGTTGCTCTGTGTATCATCAGCTTTAGTTTTCAATGACAACACTGATATTGTTTTGAAATAGGCTACTAGAGGTAATATTAATGGCGTTCAGATTATCAACACTAGTGTTTCATAGCTAACTTGGCGCACCCCGTTCAGCCTGACTCAATATTTGACCGTTCTATTCATAGCACTTTCTCCAGCGCTGGCACGGAGATATAACTAAGTGTCGATATAGGTCTGGCTATGCGTAATCTCTATAAACAGATATCTGCATATGAATCTGAGGTGATGATGATGATTTTGGCATCTGAAGCGTTCTGGTTTTCCATTTGTAGATGGTTTGTAGTCCAAGTAG